ATTGATGGTTCACTGCAAATAATTATGCAATAAGGAAATTTAATTGCTAATCTATTTATTGTATATAAATGTTATCATTAATAATTTATACTATAATTGTTATACATTTCTATTTTATAATGGTAGTGTTTATATAAAATAAAGATATTAGCAAATAAACTTCCTTATCACAGAATTATTCCTGGTTTAATGTGGAGTTTACTGCTATACAGGAATGGTTGATTTCACAATAACTGTAGGTGCTACTATCTGACCATGTGAATGAGCTACACCCAGGCCTTTGTTCTCTAAGGTACCACACCTGCCTTAAGACAAAGGTGTCTCTGATCATGCCCAGAGAATGTTGGGTTAGTGATTATGAGTAATGATTCTTAATTCAAAGGGCTTAGTTAATGAAAAGAAAATTAAATGCAAACATTCATTTTGTTGTGGCTTTTGGCCAGCTATGGAACTCCTCTGAGCCGTAGGTTGTTCATCAGAGCAGTGGTTCTCAATCTGAGTCATGATCCCTTTGGAAAAGCTCTATCTCCAAAAATATTTACATTACAATTCATAACAGTAGCAAAATTATAGTTATGAATTAACAACAAAAATAATTTTATGGTTGAAGGTCACCACAACATGAGGAACTGTATTAAAGAACCAGTTGTAGCATTAGGAAGGTTGAGAAGCACTGATCTGGAGAACTGTTATAAGATAAAATCTGGCATGTGGCTATTGCTCAGTAAGTAAATAGTCTGCTGTGTAAGCATGAATACCTACGGTCAGATCCGCAGCACCACCCTAAAAAGTCAGGCCTGGTTGTATATACCTCTAACCCAGGGCTGGGAGGCAAAGACAGGTGGCTCCGTGTGCCTGCTGCCTGGCCAATGTAGTCAGTGGTGAAGTCCAGGTCAACCAGTGAGAAGCCCTGACTGTGGCAATATTTTGTTTGTACTCTAACAAATAAAACTTGCCTGGAAATCAGAGTGCGAAGCTAGCCACTAGAGGCCAGGGACTGGTGGCACACACCTTTAATCCCAGCACTTGGGATCTCATGCCTTTGATCCCAGTATTTGGGAAGTACATGCCTTTAATTCCAGCATTTGGGAGGAGGAAACAGGAAGCGATATGGCTGGGTGGAGAAAGGAAGTGATAAGGAGGGTGGAGACAGGAGCTCAACCCTTTTCAGTCTGAGGATTCCTAAAGGTAAGTAGTCTTTCTAGTGGCTGAGGGCTCTGCTTCTCTGATCTTTCAGCTTTCATCCTGATATCTGACTCTGGGTTTTTATTATTAAGACCAATTAGAATCACGCTACACCTGACTCAAAACCTAAAGTGGAGAGCAATTGACAAAGACACTCAACATCAACCTCTGAACTCCACAGACTCATATGTGGACAAGCATACCTTCACACACTGGGACACACACACACACACACACACACACACACACACACACACACACACCCATATACACATTGAAACCTCATAGTATCCCCCATGGACATCAAACTGAAAGGAAATAACACCCTCATTGGATGTTCCCTTCAAACCATCATAGAGAATCTATCACATTCAATGCTGTCATCTGTCATCCTACAATTTAGAAATCATTAATTTGTCTGATTGCCAACTCTGTCAATGCTACTTTATGAACTGAGCCATTTACCTGTGACATCCAGCCAAGGATTTAACTATAACTTTCCCCTTTTGCAAGGAGGGGAATCTACAGAATAAGTCTTAGTCACATGCCCTAGTTTAGACAAACCAAAAATAATCTCACGTCCATGTCCACTGTCTTAGTGTCAGATGACAGAATAATACAATGGAAATTGTTCATAGCTTATTTTTCAGTAGAAATAGATAATCATATATTTTTAAAAAAAGCTCTATATATCCTTGCTCCTGCATTTAGCATCACATTTTATGTACCACTATAGTGTGTTATCTGTAAACACAGTCTCTGCTGTGAAATAAGCAAAGTTATTTATTATATTGCTGTTAAAGCTTTCTGATTTAAATAATAACGTTTAAGTTTAGCTTTGGAAATATATTTGCAGTTTTTAAGACCACAGTTTCATATTGCAGGATCAAACTCAACAACAGACTTCAACACTTCTGTCTTTTACTGATCATCCAACTGAGACTATTAGCAAAAGCCTCCCATATGCATTTGCAGTTTGACTTCCTTCTTTTCCTCTGCAATCTGACCGTGGCCTTCTGACAGCACATATGTGTCCTTACAGTTATAAATAAAGACCAGAGATACTCACACTTAGCCATATGCCACGGCATTCATTTTTACTGAGATTTTTGTATCCTCTAAACTGCGTCTAGGTTAAATGTTGGATTCATTTAAGAACAGTTTGTTGTCTTCAAACTATTTCCTCTATTTCAAGGAGGAAGCACACATTTCTTTTTGCTTTTTGTTTTTCCTGAAAGTACTGGAGGTCAGATCCAGGCTTTGGGCATGCTAGGTAAGCACTCTTCCACTGAACTATACCCAAATTCCTGACTTATTGAGAGACAGTCTCACTACGGAGCTCAGTCTAATCACAAACTTGTGATCCTCTTGCCTCAGCTTTCAAATGATGGAATTGCAGGCTTGTGCCATTAGGCCCAGTCATATTCTATTCTTGATTAAGTATTGAAAACTGCAGAATTTTGTCCTCAGTACTTTATTCCTCCATGTACAGATATATGTATGGACTTTGACCTCGGACTATTCAGAATTGATGTTTCTTTACACTCCAGTAAAGCTTCAGGACACAGTTACAAAGAGTTCTTATCTATTTTACATTTAAATAAAATTATTATGCATTTTGGAGGCTAAAAGAAATGCAAATAAAAGAGAGCCAGAAGGTTTTGTCTGATTCAAGCTTAAAACTGTTCATTCCCATACAAGTCTATCATCAGGAAAGGTTGTGACCTGATATTAATAAAAGGAAGAAAGGGTTTTGATTTTCTTTGTATTCTAATCCTAGCTGCTAATAAATATTTTAACTGTGTCTCCCAAATGCAGCATTATGCCACTTTCAAAAGTGTTTTAATTAGTTATCAAAGCAGGAATTAATTATATAAGCTTTATACTTGGAATATTTAGGGAGAGAAAAACTGTCTCTTTTAGTAGATGGGTTTGGAATCGAAGTCCTGAATTGTCATTGTGGTTTCACCTTTAAGACAGTAATTTGATTTCTCTCAGCTAATATTTGCAGTTCTACAAAATGGGAATAATATCTTTTATAAACATCAACTTTAAAACTCACCATTCTTTTCCATATACCAGAGACATACTATGGCATATCCTAGGGATAGGTACTAGAATCACAGATCTATGCAAGACAGAAAATCTATCCCCAGGGAAACACAATCCAGCCAACAATAAATCACTTTTCAAGCAGAAAGTAAATGTTACTGTAGTAATAAAATTGCAATGGTGCAAATCAAGTCAAGGAACAGACTGGTGTGAAAGGGGGTCCAGAGACAGTTCAGTAAGGTAGCTTAAGAGAACACTGAGGCATGGGGAAAAACAAAAGAAGCCCAGGTCTGGAAGAATTTTGTATCTTTGAACCTTTGGTCTGTCAACACCAGGTACAAGGTGGAGCATAAAGAGGGAGCTAATGGGTCAGAGGACTGAAGAGTGAGGTAAGGTTCCTGATAGTCTATGAAGACTGGCTATCCACACTAAGAAACAGGCAAGGGCTGGTGAGTCAAGGTTAACTTTTAAGAGATTTTCCTAAGCACTCTTGGGAGCTACATGAATAAACTTTTACTCTAGAGCTTCAGAATGTATCAAGGCACACAGAAAGGGGATTTCAGAAGGGCTACTGTTTTCTGGCCTTAAACAACTGGGAGACAATGGTCCCTTGCACTGATCCAAGAAGGTTGGGGAAGAGGTAGGTTGGAGAACACCATTCAAGGGATGTGTTGAAATTGAGATGCTAATGTTGGCAGTTGAATTGAATATACATGGGACACAAATAGTTTGTAAATGTTATTAGGCTTCTATTTGTTTTAGAAACATTTTCTATAGTTTTTCACAAGGCAAATCCCCTTCACGGCCCATGTCTTCAAACTTACTGAAAAGGCTTTTTTGAAGATTCTGTAAAGTGACTTTCCTTGTTGACATCTCTTCTGGACTAGAGCCATCATCCAGAAATCTCTTAAGTTCCTAGCATAGCTCTCTGATTCTTGCATCTTCCCCAGATGATAATATGCATTAGGTCCTAACAGGATGATAGAACAGGGTAGCCCCTTCCACATAGTAACTGAAATACCTGTGGTTCACTGTGTTGTGTTTAGGTATTTCATTTGTAAGAGTATGTAAAAATTAACCTGGATCAAGCCAGAGAAGCAAAATATGCCCCCTACCTATTTTTCTAAATAAAGTTTTATAAAAATAGAAATATATGCTTTCTTTAGGAATTGCATATGGCTAAGTTCCTTATGTGTTCTTTAGGTATTGTGTATGGCTGAGTTCCTTATCTGCTTTCTTTAGGTATTGTATATGGCTGAGTTCATTATGTGCTTTCTTTAGGTATTGTGTATGTATGACAGAGTTCACACTAAAAATCAGAGCTGAGAAGTTGCAGCAGACACTTCATAGCACATTAAGCATTGAAGAGGAAGTTACAAGGCAGGTAGAAGTTACAAGGCTGGTGGATCTCTGTGAGTTCAAGGCCAGTCTGGTCAACAGAGCTAGTTCTAGGACAGCCAAGGTTACACAGAGAAACACAGTCTTGAAAACAAAAAAAGGAATTTACAATTATAACGATTTATACCTATGATGATACCATAAGGAAACTGTTGTTTAAAAATTAAGAAAAGGGAAGAGACCAAAAAGTTAATTGATTCTTATTCTGAGGTTTCCTGGAATCATAAAGCTCCATGATTCTATAACTTGAGGGACAAATGTATCTAAAATAAGCTGATGTCTATAAAACTTACCTTTGAAACAACTGTTAAACCAGATATTATATTCAACATTTAATTTTAGTGTTTTTATTTTTCCCTTGAAAGCTGAGAATCAGAGTTCAATCAAAACACCAGAAGTGCCAGGTAAGTTCATTTTCTCTTCTCTGAGTATTCATCAAATACCCAAAGAATGCGACCGTCTAGGTGTCTCAATATGCACACACATATGCGAGCTTGAAAGCAGGGAGAAATAGAAAATAATACAGGACAATTAAAAGATGGGAGGCATCGAGTGTAATAGCTGAAAATAGGAATATCAAGGATAAGCCCGAGGACTCTGGTGGGGGTAAGCAGAGCCAGTCCTGGGGAAAGAACCATGCCTACAAATGCCTTTACCCAGTTCTGCTGTATTGGTCAATGTGTCCTCTCAAAGAAGTAGTCTCTTCACCTACTTTTACACAAAATATGGTCCTGACATCGAAAAGGATGCTGTAAGTAACAGTTAAAATCTCACTTCTGGCCACCTGACTTTTACTCTGAATTAATGTCCAATAGTGTTCCTAACAAGATGAAAGTTGAGGATCTCCACTGAAGATTGTCTTCTGACCTCCATATATGCCATGCACTCATACTCATATTTACAAATATACATGTGCACACATACACATGCACACTTCATATATAAACAAATACAAAATTTAAAATGAGCGTATTTTAGAAGATACAAAAAAACTGGTGTTTCTAAAGCAGGAAAAGTCATTGTTCCTACTCAAGGCCATGAGGCAGAGGGATTTTCCTCTTTATTCTACTCGGGTCTTCAAATGATTGCACGCTGGGGAAGGCAACCTTCTTCATTTTGTTTACCAACTCAAGTATTAACCTCAACCAAAAACATCCCATAGTAAGACTTGGACCAATGTCTGGGCACCCTGGAGGTACATTTGGATAACCATCACAGTTGTATCTCAGTTCCCCTGTAATGGCCAGCACAATTTCTAAAGATCTCGTGGTACCCCTCTTCTTCAAACTTGTGTTTTAGAACAATGATTACAATGTGGACATTAAGCTTGGTAGAAAAGCAGAAGCAAGAACAGACAATATATGACCAACACACCAAATCATTAGAAAGGAGGAAGAGCTGTGTTCACTGTCCTCTCCAGCTCCAGGAAGCTGTGGAAACTGAGGCATGCATCACTCTGTGCAGAATATTATCCATTGAGTTCTCTATCATTCAGTGACAGAATGTTGACATTCCCACTCAGTGAGGACCCACTCATGCTAGGATATACCTATCATAAGCTGTCTAGAGTCTGTAGCTCAGGGTTTTATAATATCAAAACAATTAACTGGCTCTAGAGTTTTCATTGAAGTATTTGCTCTACAGCCTACTTACAGCGTGATCTTGAGAGGATGTTTAATCTCTCTGAGCTTCAGTTTTTGCTTTGAAAAAATGAGAACAATAACTCAATAATAATTGAAACAGTTACTCTTTGTTAACTATTTAGAATAATATCTGATATATAGTGTCCCATACAAATTTGAAGTAAAATCCTTTTTAATATCTTTATAGATATATTGATAATGGCAGAGAGAGAACATTGTAAACCTTTCAGAATTCAAAGAACAAATTTTATTAACCTTATGGATAATTATATATAAGCAAATAGGATAGTCTTACTTAAAAATCTGTTTAAAAAATCTTAAAAATCCTATGGAAGCCAGGGGGTGGCGGCAGCAGCGGCGGCAGAGATGCACACCTTTAATCCCAGCACTTGGGAGGCAGAGGCAAGCGGATCTCTGTGAGTTTGAGGCCAGCCTGGGCTACAGAGTGAGTTCCAGGAAAGGCACAAAGGTATACAGAGAAACCCTGTCTTAAAAAACAAAAACAAACAACAAACAAACAAACAAACAAAGCCTATGGAAGAATAGAAAGGGAAATAGAGAGTTTTCGAGTGTATTTAACTTACACTTTCTCTCATTCACTCTCAGACATGTTTGCCTCACCTGCCTGAGCCACACTATTTCTCATCCTTAAAGCACAAGATTAAATATACTTTCTCAGGGATAAAATAATCTGGAACTTAAGGAAGTACTAGTATCCTGCTTTGTTTTTTCTTGGATCTCATGCATAAGTTCCTGAAATTTAATAACTATTTAAACTGGCTGAGAAAGGGGAAATCTCCTCCCTCAATATCAACTTCTATAGAGTTATCTAAGCTAAATATATCTCAGTTCACAATTATTTCCAGGTATATAAGAGTATGTTATGTCTCAGGTTAATTACCTTGATGGCTTAAAGCAAAAGGATGGATAGTTGAGATAAAACTTTGACATTGCTGTAGGAGTTCTCCCAGTTCGGTAATGTAAGCTCTGAGGAGATGCAAACTCAATCTCAACCACTCAAAGGCAGAAAAACTCTCCTCTGGTGTTCTACCTATTAACTGGAAAGAAAGTTCCATCATGGGTATATGCACATAAAAGCTATGAAAAAGAAAGAAATCATGTGACAAGAATCTAAGTTCTTAAAGCTGGAAGAACATTCAATGATCCTATCATCATATTCCCCTCTGCATGCATAGCATTCACTATCTGAATGATGTATGTTCTAGTTGATTTTTATAAAAAGCCGTTTTCTTTCTGATAATGGAAGTCCCGCATAGACTCTCTCCTTGTCAGAATGTTTGACCAATGTAAGTATCTGTACTTGTGTAAATTTGCCTTGGCTCTTATTTCCTGATTCTGATTTATACACCCACACAGTATACATCATTACCAAAGCTTCTCAAATCTTTCCTTTGCTGTGAAGAGTAGCTTATTCATAAGATTTCATAAGAGGTGGCACAGGCTCACTCATCATGACTCTTGGAATATTATTATGTTTGTTCTTCAACCCTGGTTTCATCTGGATCAGTTTGGAATCCCTCAGCTGTATCTTACACTGTGCTGTCCGTCCTTCAATATTTACTGTTAGGTACAGAGTGGGCCTCTATTTGTGATTATTATTGAATGAATATAAAAAGAAACAAAGTAACATGTCAGCATGGATGAGGAGGGTCTCACACAGCTCCATCCTTAGATAAAGAGCAACAGGAAATTAACAGATGCTTGGAGGGGGGAATCAGTTTTTCCCAGGTACAAGATTCCTAATTTGTTATCTAATACCAAGCAGTCAACACTAAAAACATATAAGCAACACTAAATGGACTCAGCAGGTTTTATTTATATATTTATAAACATGTATAAATATAATAATTACTAAAGGGGGAAAAACAATGGAGATAATACCTGAAAGTAAGTCAGAGAAGCCATCAGATAGCAAGAGAAATCTGATGTGAAGAGAGGGCAGGAGAGGACAGCCGAGTGGAAGCCTTCTAGCTTGACATTCACGTTTAGGAAGTTTGAGAAAGGTCATCAAGGAATCCTCTAGCCCAAAAGCATCTTGGGAGGCATTCACAACTCTCAAGAAACAGTGGGCATGATTGTCCCTGCCAGGCTGACACTTGGCTTTGATGAGCCTTGGGGCAGTACAGCCTCAGGCCAGCACAAGGTGGAATTCAGAAAAGTGGGGAACCTCAGCCACCTACACTTCCATAACTTCAGTCCTTTGAAGACCATTCTCTAGTCAAGCTCTGATTCCTTAGAACAACAGTCAAGTCCCCTGTTAGTAAAGTTCCCAGTGACATAGCAAGTTTACATGTATGTAGTGACACATACCTTTGATCTCAGCACTCTGGAGGCAGAGGCAAGCAGATCTCAGAGAGTTTGAAGACAGCCTCCTCTACCTAATGAGTGCAAGACAGCCAGGACTACATAGTGAACCCTTGTCTAAAACCACAAAAGTACCACTGTCAGGAACTATTAGCAAAATGTGAATACATTTCAGTAGAATAGGCTTGGTTCCAAGAGAACTTGCTTCACATAGCTTGCTCTGAGTTTTGACATAAGTTTGTAAATTGCATTTAAATTGTAACACAATGCCTCTAGAATTCAATAACCATCACAATCCCCAAAATCAGGACCCGCATACGAACTTTGTGATCTAAGAGTGACATGTTTTCCAGCTTCTTCCACTCCTGACTGGAGAAAAGAAATACCGAAAAACATGGAAATGTCTGAAAACTCAATTTAACACAGCTAAATTCTGAATTTTTAAGGAAATTAGATGAACTCTCTTTAGTTGGAAAGTTCAACTTTCTAAAAGACATAATCATACATTATAGCAATATCATACAACATATATTACATGATATTATATAGTTTAAAATAACCATACTGGGGCTAGTTATTCTCCTAGACAATTTAAATTTATTCTTTCTTAATCTTTACAGCAACAATATGATGTAAAACTATTTTAACCCCTTTTACATGTAAGAAAATCAGACAAAAAGAGGTTAAGTAACATGACAAGCCTCTTCAGGAAGGCAGTTTTACAGTCAGAGTTTAGCTTTCAGAATCATGTTCTTAACTGCTGCATTATTCCTCATCTGACCCTTCTCTGACATTGCTACTTTGGTAGAAATTTGTGGTAGCAGGTTTTCAACACAATGAATGAAGATCATCAGACTACACTATGAATCTCTCTGTTATAGTCACAGAAAGAATAAATGTTAGGCTCACAAGCTTTATCTAAGTACCATTCAGTCATATGATCATGCTAAAGATACGGTTTCTCAAATTGTGGGGCACTAATAAACACCATAACAAGTACTTTTAATTAAGTAGAAAAATATAAGAAATGCAAACACCAAATACTATTACCCACAATACAGGTAAACACACAGGTGTGTGTGTGTGTGTGTGTGTGTGTGTGTGTGTGTGTGTGTGTGTGTGTGTG